AGTTTAGATCCCCGAAGTTAACTATAGGAAAAAAGGCTCTGGTCCATCACCTTTGATTCCAGCCTTCACAGCTGTTTGGCTGTTGACAGTGTATTGCTGGTCATGGTGTAACCCTAACACCATGGGTGAGCAGCCTGGGGCAGTGATTCTCCTAGTACTGCTCCATGCATGGAGCAGTGACACTAGTAGCCTTGTGTGTATATCACAGTATCATAGAATGGTTTAGGTTGGAAGGGACCTTAAAGCTCATCTAGTCCCAACCCCCCTGCCCTGGGCAGGGACACCTCCCACCAGCCCAGGTTGCTCCAAGCCCCATCCAGCCTGGCCTTGAACACCTCCAGCGATGGGGCAGCCACAGCTGCTCTGGGCAACCTGGGCCAGGGGCTCACCAGCCTGAGTGAAAAATTTCTTCCTGAAAGAAGAAATATATGTACCAGGTCCCATGTCCCCTTGTCAAATCAACCACTGGTATGGCCCCTTAATGACACCAGGTGTTCTCTGTCAGCCCAGTCCCTGTTGTCCTCCTTTCTGCGCCCTGTTCCCTCACACAGAAACAAATCCATAGGTTGCAGTATTTTTATCAGGGGCTCCTACTTGGCTCTGTGTCTGTGCCACTAGCATTGCAGGGAAGATCCAGCCTGCTTCCCTTTCCTTGAAGGAGACAAGCAATGGCTTTTGGGACCGTGTTCATGGAGCAGCAGCTCCTGAGACCAGGCCAGCAGTGAGGTTGCTATCCTGAGGCGCTGTGCCGAGGAGCATGCACAGACCCAGGAGCAGTGCTGCCGAGGGGAGCACCCCTGTTCTCTTTTTGTGCTGCTGCCACCTGCGGAAAACTTGGTGTCCTGCTAACCTACTGACCCTTTTCTGGATTTTTTTTTTTTTTTCCTGAGGAAGGCACTGCATTTGCTTACTCTATTTCCTACCTTTTTCGTAAGTCACGTTGTGTAAAAGACTTGTAAAATCTTCATTGATCAGCACAGGTTCTGGGAGGTTAATGGATCGAAATGGGCTGCCCTGAAGAGGTGTAGGCACTGTCTGTGACCCATGATCATCCTTCTGTGCTCTTCTGTACAAATACAAAGAATAAGACAGTTGTAAAGTATGACAGCTACAGGTGAAGCCCCTACACTGCAGTTGTGGCAAACACATGCAGAGTCAGAAGTAGGACAACGCCAGCAGAGACCAGGAAATGAGTTGGCTTTGATGGAGTTGGCTTTGATGCAGTTCATGAACAATGAACACTCTGGAAGTAACTTCCACTGGCTATAGGAGAAGGTTATTTCAGACCTGTGCTTCTGCAGAGCATTTTTCATCTAATTAAATGGCTTAATTAGCTAAGGGGCTAGCCTAGATTTGCAAAGTGTTTGCATCAAGTCAATCTGTACACCCCTCATCAAAAATCCATTTTCAGGAGGCGGCTAATAGGGGCCAAGGTGGAGAAACCGTCTGCTTCATCCCAGCAACAGTGTGGCCCAGCAGTGTGCAAACATGCTCCTACGTGGCCCTGCTCAGAGAAGAAAAGGCCGGTGACAAAAGACCAGAGCATGACTGCACCATCAGGAGCCCGCTGAGTCCTGCACGCTTGGAAGGGGAAACGGCAGTGCTGTTGTCTAGGTGGAGGTGGCTTAATAGCTTGTAAGGGTGAAGGCTCCTGGCTTTCAATAAGATTCCTGCCCCAACATGTCTCTAGCAGGTCTGTGTGTTTCACCAGGCCCTGGTTTTCCTGAGAGCTGCTGGGGCTGTTTTGCTGTTGGAATCCCAGTTAGGTGTTGATGTTTTGCTGCTGTATTTGCTCCGTGGGGGTATGTGTCTAAAAGCCTGGGGTGAACTGAAGGCTAGAGCTTCCAGTAATAAATCAGGATTGATACACATGTCCAGCCAGAAAAAAAGATTAAGCAATTAAGCTATAAAGAAATTAACAAAATGAATACCAGTGCTAATTAGCACTTCCGGAACTCTGGAGTTTGGGCCCTTACTTAGCTTTCACTTTCCGTGATTCCCGCCGCTTCTCTTGCTGCAGCTGCTCAATCTTCTGTTGCATTTCCTCCTGCTTGGCACTGATTTCTTCAATCATTGACTTCGCATCGCTGAGCTCCTCCTGAGAAACAGGCAAAAAGCACAGCATTCCCAGGGTGCCCATCAGCCTCCCAGATCACAGCTTTGAATGCTGGCTGGTGCGCACCAGAGATGCTTCAGGGTGCTGTGGAGAGTGGCTCTGTAATTAGACACACTTCCTTTGCAAGTCCAGCGTATGTAATACATGCCATGCACAGCGTGGCAGACCTTAATTCAGCTACAGGCAACTCATGCCAGTCAGTGTGATGTTACATGGTTAAGGCAGCAGTGGGAGATGGAGACACGGGGCTTCATCCACCACTAGTTGAAAGCACTGGGAGGACACCTGCCTTGAATGGCACTTGGAGGTGGGCCTGAGGAAGCCCATTTCCCTTGGCAGTTCTCCAGCACGTGTATTCTTGTGGTGCACTTGGTTCACATCCCAGTGGGACCACTTACATGTATAAGCTTTTGCCAGTCATGCCTTGGAGCTGCCTTTTTAGTCTGGTTTCCTAAGAAAATGAGGCCCTCCATAACATCCCTGTGAGCACGTCCTCCCTCAGCAACCCTCAGGCTGATTCAACCAAGCCTTACTCAGATGTAGAGCTCTCGGATGTGTGAAGTTCCTGCAGGTTTCATCAAAGTGAGCAGCAGGATGGAGGAGAGAGACTCAAGAGTTTCGTGTAAACTGAAGGAGAGGGATTTTCCCCAACCAAGGAGGTGGATTCACTGGGACCTCAATGTTTGGACAGTCAACATGAGCATCAGGCAGCGGGAGAGCAGCCTTTGCCCCTCCTGTTGCTTGCATAATTCCTTCTACCTGGGTTTTAAAACCCCTTTTTGCACCCATAACAATGTCCTGAATAACCCTACCTCTGGTTGTTTTGAGACCTCTGCCATGTGCTCTTATGCTTCTTGTCATCTCCCTTGTTCATCTGGGACCACAGGGCTCCTTTTGCCTGGTGCCATCCGTCTCTCCTGCTCACAGGATCAGTACTGGGCTTTTCTGGTTAGCAGCCCTCTTTAACTTCACAAGGTACTATTGACTCAGCAAAAACCCCATGGGGAAAATTACCATAAAAACAATAACGCAGTTTCTCTGCCTGCCTCCTCACAGGCAGTCCCATTTCTGCATGGAGACACTGGCTGGTTTAAAGTATACATCAAGCCTTCTTGCTAGGCTCTCTCTCCCGTCCTTTGTCTTTATCCTCTTGGGCCGGATCAAACCAGGCAGCACTTCCTTCCCAGCCGTGTGGGAATGCAGCTTCAAAAGGCTTTAGGGTTTTGTGTTAGCTCCCTGCTCCCCAGCGGCTTTGGTTCCTGCAGGAAATGCAGGAGACCTGACCCGGGGAGAGGTACGGCACTGACACCGTGGCCCAGCCGCAGCCTGTGAACGGGCCACATGCCCGTTGCCCACGCAGCCCAGCGCAAGGGTTGCTTGTGCCCCGGGGCAGCTCGCAGCACAGCCTCATGGCCCACCACGAGGTTAAAGAGGCCAGGGTGCGGGTTATGTTTGGGTTGGAGGGAGACACAAAGCCAAAGGAAATGCACCAGATACTGCTGAAACAATTGCCAGCTCGCTTTCTTTACAAGCAGGAAGGATTGATGCAGGCAGGGGGAATGCTGCCCCATGCAACACGAGCGAACGTGGTAGGTATGCAGCCCCTCCTCCACCCCCACCCCCCACAGGTCACACTCCTACCTTGAAGGTGTTGAGGGAATTCTTCATCTCAGCCACTTTCTCTTCCATGGCACAGCGGCAGCTCTTGACCTTCTCCTCCAGGGCGTACTCGCCATGCTGGATTCGCGACAGCTCCTGCATTGCTTCTGTGAAACCCGCCTTCAACTCAGAGGCTAATGCCTGCAACTAGAGGAACCACAAATATGGTGGGCTCAGTCCCTCCTCCTAGATGCAGGTGGCTGTGTCCCTAAGGGTCACCCATGGATCAGAGTGGCATGAAGGCTGGGTGTCACCCATCCTGTAAGATGCTGTCCTCTTTCTCCTCCTCTTGTCATGGCTGGGAGACATGGGGGGAGGTTTGGTCCCTGCTGCAGCCTCAGTACAGGGTAGGAGGTGTTTGTCTTGGGCAGTCAATTGTGCCCCTTTTTAGACTTGGGAGTTTTTCCAGCCCCCCCTGGCAGTTTGCAGCCTGTCGGTCTGTAGAAGGAGAGGACGGCCTGAAACATGCCGAGGTTTGCAACAACAGCAGCCAGATTATCAATCACCAAAGCAGCTGAGCAATCAAGAACACGTCCGTTTTTGAGCAAGTCCTCCTCCCCCACATGCTCGTGGGGCTGGTGCTCTCCCCAGACAGGTCTAACACCTCCTTGCTATCTAAGGGCTGTGGAGAAGCTCTGTCCTCGGTCAGTGGGCCCTTTCCAGGGAAGGAGGCAACTCTCTTAACTCACGATGGGGGGGGAACGGGAGGTTTGCCCCTGACATATGGTGACACTGTGCCCGCTCTCCCTGTTTTCTGTCCCTAGAGGCCCTAGCGCCGCTGGAAGAGCTCACAACCTCAAGCTGGAGGCAGCCGGTTGGTAGCTGGGTGAAGCAGGAGACAGAGCGGGGCGAGCCAGGCTGGCATGGCGAGCAAACAAGGTGGGTGCGGAGGTGGGCAATGAGGGGAGGCAGGCGGCTTGTGGAGGGCTCAGCGGGGACACCCTCTTGGGGGACAGCTGGGGCCGGTGACCCTGACTGAGCTCTGCCCCCACCGCTGCGAGCAAGGTGCTCGCTCTGCCTGCACAAAGCCCATGGCGAGGTCGCGGCCCAAGGCACTTCGGTACCAGTGGTTTTTACCTTTACAACAGAAATTCGGCCTAACATCTGGTTATAAACTGAGTCCAAAACTGGAGCACTGATGGTAAGAGGACAGCCACCCCGGGGAACTCAGGCGCTTGAGTCCTGTAAATGGAGCAGAGATGGCTTCCGATACCTCGGGGCAATGGCAGGCACCATCCTCCTCTGATCAAGACCGGCAGCGTCTTTACAGAGGACGTCTGCCTGACATCCCCCCTCCTACCCCAGTGCTTACCCCACAGTCCCCAGTCTGGTCTGGCTGGACACACATTCCTAGAGCTGCTGGGGTAGGAGGAGCGGGACTGACAGGAGCTGGGACAGGGCAGAGGGGAGCAGGAGGCTGAGGACATCTTCCCTCTTCAGGCACTCAGCCCTGACTCCCCAAGCCAGCTGAAGCTCCAGACCCCTTGGTTCAACCCCTTCACCCACCCTTCCTGGCCACAGCGGACACCTTCCTGTGACACTCCTGTATCACAGGAATTGTCACCCTGTGACCTGTGAATGTAGCCTGAAGGGTTAGAGGGTCTGCCTAGGGCCATGGCTGCTAGGGGAGGCAATGACCATACTGCTTCTGATATCTCAGCCTGGGGAGGGTGAGCCAGATGGTATAGGCATCATCAGACATCCTAACATACATGCCTGGAGGAGTTGGGGGAGATAAAGTACTGCAACTGTGCAAAATGTGAATATTCCCATCCCTCCTCGCAGGTGCTTGTCACATCTGCACACTGAGCTGACATTGCCAAGGCAGAGTCTTCCTGCTCGCCTGCATCAGGGCTAGGCATTGCACATGTTCCTCTAAGTGAGAAGGGGTGATCCGTCACACCCGTCCCTTCCAACTCAAATATGCTATCCTACGCTGTCCATTTTAGAGATCTGCTTCAGGATGGAGATGTCATGGCCTCAAGTCTTGCTAGCAGTGGAGCAGTCCAGAAGCTGGCCCTGGAGATAACTATGTCTGGGGAGAAAAAGCCCAAAATGAAATGTTTCTGCCCACAAGCCTGGCCTGGCCTTCTTGGGTGCTTCCAGAAAGGGGGTAAACTAGACAGATCCTTTGTGAAGGGTACAGGGATGGGAGTCATTGCTGGTCTAGAGGTTTCAGAGTCAAAAACTGCTACGCATCAGCAAAAGTCAGCAAAAAGGGAGCACTGCAGAGACTTTGGTGTTCATGTGCACCAAAACACTCTGTGAAGGCAGAGTTCAGGCAGCCAAAAGAAAGACTGGGACTAGAGACTGAACTAAAATATCCTCTGCACCTAAGAGCAGACAGTCACTTGTTATTTTGGGGTTCGCTGTTAGTCATTCTCTGCTTTTGCAGTCACAGTGCTAACTTAGTTTCTTTGTGTAGCCTTCCCAGTGCTCCACACCCCAGCCTGAGTCTGTTCTGCCCGGTACATCTCTCTTCGGCCCCATGCAGCTGACAGCGGCTATTTCAGACACCGAAATGCATCTTACGCTTGCATTTCCTATTGTTGCCACTTGATGGATGAAAGCAGGCAGCAACACCAATCATCAGCCACATCTGCCAGGGCTTGTATGGCTGGACATAAAGGGCTGAAACCCTGAGAACTCCCTCCTCTGCTGCCCTTCATGCTCAGAGCATAGAAAGGAAACACAAACAGCTTTGTGGCACTGGGTGCAAGTTTGATCCAAAATTGAGTGGCGTGGTACAGGATCAACACATTATCTTTGAACTCCTGCCAAGCACAGTGTAGTGCGAGAGCTGCGGATTTGAGTTCGAGCTCGTTTCTAGCGACAAGCTGTAGAAAACCATCAAATCCCATGGGCTGTTACAACAAATGGAAGCCATTGAAGGCTTATGCTTATGCTCAGTGATTATGTCTACGGGACCAGAGAGACATTTCACAGGTATGTGAACCCCTGGAAAGTCAAACCAATTCAGTGTTTCTAAACTGCAACACATACCAAAAAAGCAAGATTTTATATTATCATGGAAACTTGGCAACAGTTTAACTGTAGTGTGTTGCCCTGGCTCACCTATTCATGGGAGTAAATACAGTTGAAGAGGAACACACCTTAACAACTTAAGTTGAACTGCGCCTAATGCCTAGAGGATAAATAAACCTACGTGATCACAGGGAGTCCTTAGGACGTGTCCAAGAACTGTTCAAAAAAAGCATTTAGGCATCTCAATAATTTGGTACGAGATACACATTTCAGCCCCCAACCTGCCTTTGGAGTGTTGGCCTTCAGCCTGACAAAGCAGTGCAGTTCGGGATCCCGCGCCACGCATCTGCAGCAGATTACCTGTGTCTTGGGGGCCATGACTCCCATTTTACCTACTGCCCTGTTGTTTCTCAGCTCTGTGCAGAAAAACCATGCAAGTAAAATCTCTAGCGAGACTAGGTGACTGCTCTGCACTCTGTGGGTAGCTGCCCATGGGGAAATGAACAATTGTCCTCCCCTCTTTTCATGACTCGGATTAGTAGGACACTGAGAAGCAGTCCCTTGTGACTTTCACTGGTCCTCCAGCCCAACGGGAATGTGAACTCTCTGTCAGAGTCCACCTGGAGAGGGGAGCAAGCAGTTCCCAACATGGAGGGGGAAACCATGACCACGTGGAAAAAGTAATGGTGGCTACGGGGGAGAAGAAGGGCGAGATCAGAAGACATACAAGGAGCATTTCTCAGCCTGATTTTGACTTGACTTTGCAAGAGTTGGAGCCATTTATATATGTGTGTGTGTGTGTGTATATATATATATAACATGGCTGTGAAATCTCCTTCACTGAGCCTCCACTTTTGTCTCACCTGCTGCACTGTCCCCAAAGGGTGGACAGGACTGATGCTGCTTCCAGGCCCAGAGGCAGCAAAACTGCAGAGCCTCCCCATCCTCCCTTGATGGGTGCCAGCAATTTGAGCCGTTAGTGAAAGAGAGTGAGCGTCCCTGCAGCCCAAAGCCTTGTTCAGGCTTTGAGGCAGCCCAGGGAAGATGGTCATGGCCAAGAGATGGGGATGGCTTATGGAAGGAAGGGCTGGGATCAAAAGCAGAGGGCAGAGCTGGGTGAGCTGGGTTTACTGCCCTGGCTGCCACTGAGAAAATGAGAAGGAACCCTTGCTTCCATGAGTAGCTGTGTCCTCACATATCTCCCCCCAGCGCTAGCCAGGCTGTCCAGGGCTGTCTCCAAAGAGATTGCTATTTGCCTCTGCCGCCCTTTATCCTTACACTAGAAGAGGACTTGCTCTTAGGGACCTTGAGCTAAAGCCTGTCAAAACCAGCAGAAAACAGGCTCATGATGAAGAAATGTTGCAGAGGAATGATTCTGGTGTTCTAAATATATCCTGGAAAAGAGCAAAACCTTCTGTAGCCATGAAGGAATACTGTCTGTGTCACTTCCCCCAGCTTATCTACTCTCCATCACTTTGCACATCTTCTTACGTGGCTGATCCGAAGAAGTAAGTAAACACTGTGTCACCCAGAAGAGGGCTGCCGGAGGACACTGCCTGAAACCAATCTGGCACAAAGTCCAACGCTTGTCACAAAGTCTGGGTGTGATTTTTCTGAGCTGCATGACGTATGCTTTTCCCAGGGAACAACTAATTTCTAGCGCAGCTACTAATTGCTACGTGTAAGGAGAGCACTTCTAGAGCCAGGCAGTAGGAAGGCTTGCAATGCCTCGTAGAGGGAAAGCAGCAGAACTTTGCTGATTTACAGTGGTAGACAACCTGGGCCGAGGATTATATCCAGTATTTATATTCCTAGGCAAGGATGGTAGGAATAAAGGCAGAGCAGCAGGGTAAGGACAGAAGAGGAGGATGGAGATACTTAAAGGGGGCTGCAAGCGCTTATCAGCTCTTGTTTCACATCTGGGCAGTCTTTTTTTTGGTAACTGCAGTGCCCACAGGGCCCTCGCTGAAGCAGAAGGGGACAGCCAGCTGGGCACTTTCATTTAAAGGATTCATGAGGGCATGCACATCTCAGCTGGGTTTTTCTGGAAAGCAACATGCGTGCATGGTGTTCCCAGCATGCTGTCCCAACAGTGTGCTAGCTTTCCATGCATGTTGGATCCACTGTGCTGGGCCCTTCAGCAACCCAGTCACAGCTCCTGCCTGGAGCTGTCTGGATGGGAAAAGGGGATGAGACAAGAGAAGAATGGAAAGCAGTATCTCCTCCACTTGCCATGAGGTACTTACAAGCAATTACAGGCATTAGTGTTGCAGTGGACAGGTCTCAAATAGTCAGGGTTTCCAGTTTCTAGTTCAGGGATATGTTTCTCTTTCAGAGTATGGTTCCATATTGAACCAGACCAAGGTTTAAGGTGACTCAAAACTCTGTTGCATTTCCTGCAGACTGGAAATGCGTAGGAAACATCACTGTGGAAACACTGAACCTTCATCTTACAGGAAGGATGCTCCCTGGGCTGTGGTATAGACAATCTTGTTGCATCCATGGTGGCTAACTGCAGCAAGACCGTCAACTGGAAGAGTGGCCGCAGAGCTCTGGGAGTCCTGATCACCTTGAGCCAACGTGGGCTCAAAGACAACATTTCCAAGCTCCAGGCAGGGGAGCCAAACAGAGACACGCAGCAAGACTCAATGCCCTGGCCGGCCTGGCTGTTCTGCATTATTGGGCAAGAAGAGCAGCTCATGGCCCGAGGAGCCGTGAGGCTGCCAGGATAACCCAGAGCCCCCCAGGAAACTTGGCCCCCTGCTAGGGAAGACCCCCCCACACACCCCACGTCAATCAACACATCCTTGCTCCTGGGACAGCTCATCAGGTTTGGTGAAAGCTCCTCAGAGCTCAGCTGTGAAATCGCCCTCTGGCTCAGTGAACTGACATTCTCTAATTGGCGCTAATGATACCCGCTAGTTAATTAGCTGAGCTCACAAATCACCTGTCTAAACACAACCGGTTGTGAGCAGAAAAATTTTACTGAAGTGTCTTTTAAGATGAGGCCCAAGATGTGCTATGAGTGACAGTTATTCATGCAGCGTGCACATTTTAGTTGCCATGTTCCTTGTAAGTGCCTGCATTTTTCCTTCCACTTAATTTAGCTTTTGAACTAC